CCCCCCCAAGCCCATGGGAAATGGGGCAGCACGGTCACTCAGTGCTGCCTCACAGCGCTAGGGACCCAGGTTTGATTCCACCCTCGGGTGACTGTCTGTGTGGAGTTTGCATGTTCTTCCCATGTCTGTGGGGGTTTCCTCCCACAGTCCAAAAATGTGCACATTAGGTGGATTGGCCATGGTAAATTGCCCATAGTGTCCAGGGATGTAGAGGTTAGGTGCGTTAGCCACACGGAATGTTGGAAGGGGGTCGGTCTGGGTGGGGTGCACTTCAGGATGGCGGTTTGGACTTGTTGGGCCAAATGGCCTGTTCCCACACTCTGGGGATTCTGGAAACAAAAAGAAATGCAGGGTAGAGGGTAGCTGTGTGGGTGGGTTGGTTGGTCTTCAGAGGGTCACTGTGGACTCAATGGGCCAGATGGCCTGCTTCCACACTGCAGTGATTCTTTGATACTTCTATGATACCCACTGACTGTGGATGCTAGCTTTCAATGATTAGGCACAAGACCCCCAAATCGCTCTGTTCTGTAGCTTTCTGCAGCTTTTCTCCATTTAAATAATATACTCAGCTTCTCTACCCTTCCTGCCAATGTATGTAATGTCACATTTTGCAACATTATCTATCTACCAAGTTTTTGACCACACTCTCAACCTGTCTGTGTATCTCTCTGCAGACTCTTTGTGTCATCCTCACCACTTGCCTTCCCTTCTATTTTTGTGTTATCTGCGAACTTGGCTATATTACATTCGCCTCTGTCATCCAAGTCATTAACATGTAGTGTAAATAGTTATGCCCTAACACTGATTCCTATGGCTTCCACTAATTACAGGCTGCCATCAGGAGAATGCATCCTCTACCCTAACTGCATGTAGTACTCTAGATATGGTCTCCAGTGGAGAAGAATTTAGTGTGGTTGTAATGTCACAGGAATGGTACTGCAGAACTAAGCCTATTGTTCTGAAGTTATCGGGTTAAAATCTCATCTTGACAGGTAGTGAAATTTTAACTCAATGAAATATGGATCATGTAATCATTGTCACTTATAAAATCATTAAAAACCTGTATGGTTTGTTAATGTTCTTTTTTAGGGAAGAAAATGGGCCATCCTTACCCGGTCTGGCTCGACATGTGACTCCAGACCCACAGCAATGTGGCTTACTTTAACTGTCCAGTGAAATGACCTCACAGGCCACTGCCTGTGTCGAACTGTTAAATTGTCTCAAAGCATTGAAAAGGAGCGGACTGCTTGCCATTGATGTAGGCTGCGGAAATGACAGCAGCTAACTCGTCCTGCCGACTCTGCAAAGTTCTCCTTGTCTATCCCCTATCTTGTGGATAGCGTCCAGATTGAGAGAGTTGTCCCACGGTCCAATCAAATGAATGTTCTGAATCAAAAAGGAAATAAAATGTCACAGAAATCACCACAGCTGTCCCTGGGTATATCCTGCCCAGCAGTAGGACGGATGTGGCGGCACAGTTGTATATGATCGAAAAGGAGTTGCCCTGGGAGACCTCAATACTTACTCTGGATCCCGTGTGGCTTTATGGAATCAGATCAAACATGGGCAAGGAACCCTCCTACTGATTACCACACCGTGCCCTCTGTTGGCTGATGAATGAGTGCTTCTCTTTGAACACCACTGGGAGGAAGCATTGAGAGTGGCAAGGGTGCGGAATGCACTCTGGGTGGGAGATTTCAATGTCCATCACCAACAGTAGCTCAGCAGCGGTCTGACTGACCAAGCTGGTCGAGTCCTAAAGGACATAAACTGTTGGACTGGATCCTTGCAGCTGGTGAGGGAGCCATATGTGAAGGGAAAATCGACCTGTTGCAGTTGCATGCATCCAGTAGGAGTTACTCTGGGACAGTCCCAGTGGAGACAAAGTCCCATTGTTACATTGAGAATACCCTCCATTATGTCTAATGGCACCCACCACCGTGCTAAATGAGACAAACTTTGAACAGACCTAGCAAATAAAAACAGGGTATTCCTGAGGTGTCAGCAGCAGCAGAATTGTATGCAGCCTTGGTTCAATCAAGAATGCGGGAGGGTATCCCAGAAGCAGCACCAGCAAAGACCAAAAATAAGGTGAGACAACAAGGTGCAGAGCTGGATGAGCACAGCAGGCCAAGCAGCATCATAGGAGCAAAAAGGCTGACGTTTCAGGCCTAGACCCTTAATAAGGTGTCTACCTGGTGAAACAACAACAATAATACAGAACTATTCTGGTCTCCCTGCTATAGGAAAGATGACGAAAGGATTCAGAAAAGATTTACAAGAATGTTGCCAGGATTGGAGGGTTTGAGCTGTAGGGAGAAGCTGAATACGCTGGGGCTGTTTTCCCTGGAGCATCGGAGGCTGAGGGGTGACCTTTAGGGAAGTTTATAAAATCATGAGGAGCATGGATAGGGTGAATAGTCCCCCAGGATAGGGAAGTCCAAAACTAGAAGGTATAGATTTAAAGTAAGAGAGGAAAGATTTGAAAGGGACCTGAAGGGCAATATTTTCATGCAGAGAGTAATGCGTGTATGGAATGAGCAGCCAGAGGAAGTGGTCGAAGCTGGTGCATTTACAACATTTAAAAGGCGTCTGGATGGGTATATGAATAGGAAGGGTTTAAGAAGTGTAAGGGTCAAATGCTGGCAAATGGGACTAGATTAATTTGGGATATTTGGTTGGCATGGATGAGTTGGACCAAAGGGTCTGTTTCCATGGTATACGTCTCTGTGACTTGATTGTCACTTGCTGCCTCCACTGTTTGACAGACACAGCTAAGCAATTGCACAGCCCATGAATCTGATTGGTCTTGAACCATCTGATCGTGAATAGTTTAGTCAACAATTAAACAACACACCGGATGAGGAGGGTCCATAAATATCCCAATCCTCAATGACGGGGGATCCCTACACGTCAGTGCCAAAAAACAAGGCTGAAAGTTTTACAACTGATTAGTAATGCAGAGGCGCATGTAATTTTCTGGGTTCAAATGCCACCAGAGCTGTTGGTGGAATTTGACTTCAATGAAAATCTGGAATTAAAAGCCTATTGATGACCACAAACCCGTTGTCATATAAAGATGTGAAACAAGTGTCCTTTCAGAAGGAAATTCACTGTTTTTACCTGGTCGAGCCTACGTGTGACTCCAGACCCATAATGGTTAACTCTAAAATCATCTAGCAAGCCGGTTAGTTATATCAACTGCTTAAAACGTCTCAAAAGGGGATGAAACTAGACAGCCAATGCTGGCAAGACTAAAACACCGGAAACAGCAATGACAAATTCAGCCCTGTCCACCCTGCAAAGTCCTTGTAACTAACATTGGTGGGCCATTGTCAAAGTTGGGAGAGCTGTCTCTCAGACTAGTCCGGCAACGGCCAGATTCTGTAAGGTGTACTCTAGCGTTAGAGGCGGTTCAGAGAAGATTCACTAGGCCAATCCTGGGTATGAAGGGATTACCTTCTCGGGAGATTATTGAGTAGATTGGGCCTGTGCTCAATGGAATATAGAAGAGTGAGAGGCACCTTATTGAAACAGACCATTATTAGGGTGGCTTGACAGGGTAAAAATGGGGAGAGGTGATTTCCCTTTGGGGCAGAGTCGAGGACCAGGGCGATAATTTCAGAATAAGGGGCTGCCTATTTAAAAGAGAGGGGAGCATAAATTCTGAGGAAAGTGAACCTGTACAGTTCTTTACCAAAAAGGGCTGGGTCATTAGTTATATTAATAATATATTTCTTTTGTTCCTATGTCTTCAAAAAAAGACCCAGGACAAAATAACCTCAAAGCCACAGCATCTATCACAGAGATCAGCATGTAAAATTAAACACATGGGATTGGGAATAGTGCATTGACATGTATAGACAGGCAGGAAACGATAAACGGTCTTTTTCCCCACAAGTGCCATAGAGTGGGGTACCACAGGGATTAGTACTTGGACCCCAACTATTTATAACGTGTTAATGATTGAGCTGGAGGGAATGCTATATAATATCGCCAAGTTTGCAGATGACAAAACTGGGCGGGTGAGCTATTGGGATGATGTAGAGACACTTCATTGTGATTTAGAAAAGTTAAGGGAGTGGGCAAATGCTTGGCAGATGAAATATCATGTGGATAAATGTGAGGTTCTGCACTTTGGTAGCAAAAACAGGAAGATATATTAACTGAGTGCTGATAGATTGGGAAAGGGGAGGTGCTGTTTGTACATCAGACACTAAATGTATGCCAGTGGGTGTGTTGACCTTCCTTGTGAGAGAATTCAAGTGCAGAGCGGGAACACCTTGCTGCAATTGTATGGGTCTCAGTGAGATCACATCTGGAGTATTTTGTGCAGTTTTGGTTTCAATTATGGAAGGATGCCTGGCTATGGAGGGAACGCAAGAAAGGTTTTTTTACCCCAGACTGATTCCTGGGATGGCAAGATTGACGTGAAGAGAGACTGGATAGCTTTGGATTTTTTTTTTCTTTATTCATTTGCGGGATGAGGGCATCGCTGGCTAGACAGCATTTATTTCCTATCCCTAATTGCCCAGAGGGCAGTTAAGAGTCAACCACATTGCTGTGGGTCTAGAGTCACATGTAGGCCAGACCAGGTAAGGATGACAGTTTCTTTCCCGAAGGACATTCGTGAACCAGATGGGTTTTTCCAACAATCGACAATGGATACCCTGCATCCCAAGGTACTAAAAGTGGTGATGGGGGAAATAGCAAATGCACTAGTAATTATTTAGCAAAATTCACTGGACTCTGGGGTGGTTCCCGCAGATTGGAAAGCAGCCAATGTGACGCCACTGTTTAAAAAAGGAAGTAGACAAAAAGCAGGTAACTATAGGCCAGTTAGCTTAACTTCGGTAGTGGGGAAAATGCTTGAATCTATCATTAAGGAAGAAACAGCAAGACATCTGGACATAAATTGTCCCATTGGGAACACCCAGCATGGGTTCATGAAGGGTAGGTCATGTTTAACTAATTTGGTGGAATTCTTTGAGGACATTACTTGCATGGTGGACAATGGGGAGCCTGTGGATGTGGTGTATCTGGATTTCCAGAAGGCATTTGACAAGGTGCCACACCAAAGGCTGCTACATAAGATAAAGTTGCACGGTATTACAGGTAATGTATTGGCATGGATAGAGGATTGGTTGACCACTAGAAAGCAAAGAGTAGGGGTAAATGGGTGTTTTTCTGGTTGGCGGTCAGTGGCTAGTGGTGTGCCTCAGGGATCAGTGTTGGGACCGCAATTGTTTACAACTTACGTAGATGATTTGGAGTTGGGGACTAAGTGTGGTATGTCAAAATTTGCAGATGACACTAAGGTGAGTGGTAGAGCAAAGTGTGCAGAAGACACTGAAAGTCTGTAGAGGGATATAGATAGTCTAAGTGAGTGGCCAAAGGTCTGGCAGAAGGAGTACAATGTTGATAAGTGTGAGGTCATCCATTTTGGTAGGAATAACAGCAAAATGGACTATGTTTTAAATGGTAAAAAATTGCAGCATGCTGCTGTGCAGAGAGACTTGGGTTTCTTTGTGCATGAATCGCTAAAAGTAGGATTGCAGGTGCAGAAGGTAATTAAAAAGGCAAATGGAATTTTGTCTGCCATTGCTAGAGGGATGGAGTTTAAAAACAGGGAGGCTATGCTGCAGCTGTATCGGGTCCTAGTGAGGCCACACCTGGAGTACTGTGTGCAGTTTTGGTCTCCTTACTTGAGAAGAGATATACTAGCACTGGAGGGGGTGCAGAGGTTGATTCCAGAGTTGAGAGAGTTGGATTGTGAGGAAAGACTGAGTAGACTGAGATTATACTCATTGGAATTCAGAAGAATGAGGGGAGATCTTATAGAAACATATAAGATTATGAAGGGAATAGATAAGATGGAGGCAGGGAGGTTGTTTCCGCTAGCAGGTGAAACTAGGACTTGAGGGCATAGCCTCAAAATAAAGGGAAGCAGATGTAGGACTGAGGTCAGGAGGAACTTCTTCGCCCAAAGGGTTGTGAATCTGTGGAATTCCCTGCCCAGTGAAGCACTTGAAGCTACCTCGCTGAATGTTTTTAAGGCAAGGCTAGATAAATTTTTGAACAGTAAAGGAATTAAGGGTTATGGTGAGTGGGCAGGTAAGTGGAGCTGAGTCTCAAAAAGATCAGCCATGATCTTATTAAATGGCGGGGCAGGCTCGAGGGGCCAGATGGCCTACTCCTGCTCCCAGTTCTTATGTTCTTATGATTCATGGTCATCATTAGATTCTTAATTCCAGATATTTTTTAAATTCAAATTCTGGGATTCGAGCCTGGGTCCCAGAATGTTATCTTGGTCTCTTACCTGGGTCAGAATGTTAACTGTCCAGCGATAATACCATTAGGCCATCGCCTCCTCCTATGATATGGATGATATTCACTGGAGTTTAGAAGAATGAGGGACGGCGTTTGGAGGGAGGGGAGTCTCATAGAAACTTATAAAGCTCAAACAGGACTAGGCTGGGAACATCCTTCTTGGGTTTACCCTAAGACAGGGGAGTCCAAATCCAGGGGTCACATTCTAAGAATACAGGTAGGACTGAGAGAGGAGAAATTTCTTCACCCAGACAGCAGTTAGCACATGTAATTCTCTGCTGCAGATAACAGTTGAGTGCAAAACGTTGAATGTTCTCAAGAAGTTAGATATAGTTCTTAAGGCTAAAGGGATCCAAGGATGTGGGGAGAAAATGGGACTAGGGGACCGAGTAGGGCAATCAGCCATGATGGTTTTGACCTGCGGAATAGGCCCAAAGGGCTAAATGGCTCTCTCAGACCAGGATTTCTAGTTGTTTTTCTTTTAAGTTTTCGGTTTTGCTTTAGGCAGTTGCTGTTGTGGGCTTGAAGAAGTGGGAAGTTATTTTACCCTGTCTCAATTATAGCCAAACACTGGGATTTCTCTTCCTAGGCTACTAGATTACATTAAACCAAAATCTGTTTTTCTGAATTTGCCTTTTTGCGAAAGGGTGTGTTTATGGGATATTACTATATTGGAACAATTAATTAGTATCTATTACTCTCTTAAATTTTCCAATAGAGTTAAATTATTCTTAGTTCCTTTGGTTGTATTTTAACTTATTGTGTTTAAACACAATGTTTTGCTTAACAGTTTGACTGTCACATCGCATCTGGAATACAGCAGTTTGCATTTGCCTTAAAAATGAGATAAAGTTAGGGTCTGGGCTACCTTCTCGAGGTATTTTGAGGGGGTCTGATCTGGTCCATAACATCTCTTGTGTGGGATCTTATCAAAAGCCTTCTAAAAGTCCAACTGAACCGCATCCAATGGCTCCCTCTTACCATCTCTACTGGTTAACTGCTTGAAAAATTCCAGTTGATTTGTCGAGCGTGATTTTCCTTTCATAAATCCATTGTGATTCCAGCCAATCCTGGCATGGTTTTCCAAGTGTTCTGCTGATTAATCTGTTAATTGATTCTAGCATTTTCCCTCCCATCGATGTTAGGAGAGGCCGTCTTTAACTCCCTGTTTTCTCTATATTCTTAAAATTGTATCCTCACCTACAGGGTAGACCCAGCAGAGGTGGCGGCACGGTGGTATATGTTTGGGAGGGAGTTGCCCTTGGGAGTCCTCAACATTGATTCCAGAGCTCCATGATGCCTCATGGCATTCAGTGAAACATTGGAAATGAAACCTGTTGCTGACTACCATGTGCTGAACACCAACGCCACCTCCCCCCCCGCCCCCTGCCCCAACCTCAGTTGTTGAATCAATGCTCCTCCATATTGAACACTGTGGAGGGAGCACTGAAAGTAACAAAAGTGCCTTTGTGGGGATTGCAGTGTTGATCCACAAGAGTAGCTCAGAGGCACCACTCCTGACCAAACCAGTTGAGTCCTAAAGGACATTGCTGCTGGATTAGGTCTGTGGCAGTTAGTGAGGGAATCAAGAAGAGGAAAGCAAACATGCTTGATCTCATAGCCATAAAGACGCACAGCACAGAAACAGACCGTTCCGTCCATGCTGACCAGATATCCTAAATTAATCCAGTCCCATTTGCCAGCATTTGGCCCATATCCCTCTAAACCCTTCCTATTCATATACTCATTCAGATGCCTTTTAAGTGTTGTTATTGTACCGGCCTCCTCCAATTCCTCTGGCAGCTCATTCTATGCACGTACCATCCTGTGTGTTTAAAAAAAAAAAACAGCTGTCCCTCAGGTCCCTTTTTATATCTTTCTCCTCTAACATTAAACCTATGCCCTCTAGTTTTGGACTTCCCTACCCTGGGGAAAAGACTTTGACTATTCACCCTATCCATGTCCCACGTTCTTATAAACATCTACAAAGTCACCCCTCAGCCTCTGATGCTCCAGGGAAAACAGCCCCAGCCTATTCAGCCTCTCTCTATAGCTCAAACCCTCCAACACTGGCAACATTTTTGTCAATCTTTTCTGCACCCTTTCAAATTCCACAACCTCCTTCCTAGAGCAAGGAGACCCGAACTGAACACAGTATTCCAAAAGTGGCCTAACCAATGTCCTGTACAGCTGCAACATAACCTCCCAACTCCTGTACTCAATGCACTGACCAATAAAGGCATCTTAACCAGTCTGCCTTCTGCAGATGCAAACTTAAGTACCACCAAAATATTTGCATTCATGATGGTTAGTTTGGGGTGTTTTGGCAGTTTAAAACAGAGTAACTTGCACTGAAATATAATCCACTCTCCTGAAAGTTACTACTCATTTGGGAAGGAGTGGGTGTATTTAATTTTTTAATGCCAGTGTCATGGCAGCTGTAATATTTGCTCTCAATCTGTTCCGAAGTATATTTGGTACAACAGTGCCATCTAGTAGTGCAATACTCGTCACACGTACAGTCGGCTGAGAAGTGGGAGCTTCAAACAATGTCAATTGACTTTTGCAAAAGGATCAAAACTTCCAAACTGCTGTGTTGACGATCCAAGATCTCCAGGTTCTCTTTGGATGTGATTCAGTACATCTCCATGTCTTTCCCTCCAAGAACCTGCCACTCGGCACATCATGTTTGTGCTGGCTCTCTGACTTAGCATCACGACATGGCACCACTCTCCTATTCCTTCCTGCTAACCTTGCACGTTATTCCTTTACAAATGACCATCCAAATTCTCTTTGATTTCCTCAACCACAGTTTCAGTTGTGCATTCTACACCCTAACGACTCGCGTGACCTGATTGTACCTCGGTCTCTGGCTGTGAATTCCACAACATAACCAACAAGCAAGTGAGCACCAACACCAAGATAGTTTCAGACTGTGTACAACATGCTCTAACGTCTCGAGCTGTACACTCCAGACCTGAACCATTCATGTGAATGTTACCCACCCCCAAACCCCTCCGTCTTGGGCTGTGCACTCCAGACCAGAATTACTTGCTACCCGAACACATTTATCTTCATGTCACTTTTGCCTGTTACTTTCGATCTGTACTTCCTTTGACCCAATCCTTTCACAAGAGAGCACAGAGTGTTGCTGAACAAAGAGGTTCATGGTTCATAGTTCCTTGGAAATGGAGTTGAGGTAGGCAGGGTGGTGAAGAAAGCATTTGGTACGCTTACCTTTATTGGTCAGTGCATTGAGTATGGGAGTTGGGGGGACACGTTGTGGCTGTAGAGGACATTGATTTAGCCATTTTTGGAATACTCTGTTCAATTCTGGTCTCCCTGCTGTCGGAAAGATGTTGTGAAACTTGAAAGGGTTCAGAAAAGATTTACAAGGATGTTGCTGGGATTGAAGAGTTTGAGCTATAGGGAGAGGCTGAATAGGCTGGGGCTGTTTTCCCAGCAGTGTCAGAAGCTGGGAGGTGACCTTATAAAGGTTTATAAAATCATCAGGGGCATAGATAGGGTCAATAGCCAAGGTCTTTTCCCCAGGTTGGGGGAGTCCAAAACAAGAGGGCACATGTTTCAGGTGAGAGGGGAAAGATTTAAAAGGGACCTAAGGGGCAACATTTTCATGCAGAGGATGATGCATGTATGGAATGAACTGCCAGAGGAAGTTGAGGAGGCGGGTACAATTGAAACATTTTAAAAGGCATCTGGATGGGTATATGAATAGGAAAGGTTTAGATGAATAAGGATCAAATGCTGGCAAATGGGACTAGATCAGTTTAGGATATTTGGTTGGCATGGACGAGTTGGATCGAAGGGTCTGTTTCTTTGCTGTACATCTCTGTGACTCTATAGGACTATGTTGTAGCTATTACAGAGACTTGCTTGAAAGAGAGACAAGACGGGCAGCTTAATGTTTCGGGCATGATAGAGAAGTATATAAAAGAGGTGGAGAGTTGCGTTACTGATGAGGGCGAATATCACAGCTATACTGACGGAGAACACCTTGGAGGACTCGACTAGCGAGGCCATGTGGGTGAAGCTTCGGATTAGGAAGGGTGCAGTCACTTTGGGATTGTACTGCAGGCCTCCCAACAGCCAGCAGGGGTGAGTGCAACAGATATGTGGACGGATTATGGAAAAATGTGAAAACAACAGGGTTGTTAACAGGATTTTAACTTCCCCTATATTGGCTGGGACTCGCTTACCACCAGGGACTTGGATAGAAAGAATTTGTGTCCGATTTGTGTGTTTTTTTTTCAGATTTTGAAACAATATTTAAACAGTCCAACTAGGGAAGGGACCGTATTGGACCTGATGTTGGAGAATGAGTTCAGCCCAGATGATTGAAGTTTCAGTGTCGGTCATCTCAGGAAGAGTGACCATCATTCTGTAAGTTTCAAGTTACTTACGGATAATGATGAGCTGTCCTCCAGTGAAAGTACTCAATTTGGGTGAGGCAAACCAGCACAATATTAGGCAGGAACTGGGGAATGTAGACTGGGGGCAACTGTTTGAGAGTAAATCTGCATCTGGCATGGTAGAATCTTTTAAAGGCCACCTGCTTAGAGTTCAGGGCCAGCAACTTCATATGAAAATGAAGGATAAGGATGGCAAGATTTGAGACCCTGGACAACAAGAGAATTTGAGAGCTTAGTCAGGAGGGAAAAGGTGCTGTATATAAGGTTTAGGAAACTGAAGACAGACGGACAGCCCGAGCAGACAAAGGTAGCAGAAATGAACTCAAACAAGGAATTAGGGATTAAAAAAAGGCCATGAAATTTATTTTGCAAACAGGATTAAGCAAGAGAGTAGCCAAAGAAAAGAGTAGGTCCGCTCAAGGACAAAGGAGGGAATTTATGCATTGAGCCAGAGGAAGTAGTTGAGGTCCTCCGTAAGTACTTTGAATCAGTATTCACAAAAGAGGAGGACATGTGGATGGTCTGTCTCAGGAGAGGTACGTTGATTTTCTGGGCCATGACAATACACAAAAGGAAATGGCATTACGTGTTTTTAAAAAGAATTAAAGTAGACAAGTCCCCAGAACGTGATGGGATCTATCCCAGAATGCTTAGGGAGACAAACAAGGAAATTATTGGGACCTTGTATGAAATCTTTGCATTCTCTTCAGTCACAGAGGAGGTCCCACAGGACTGGAGAATAGCCAATGTTCTTTTTTTGTTTTAAGAAGGCCAATAAGGATAATGTGGGAAATTACAGGGCAGTGAGCCTTGCATCAGTAATAGGAAAATTTATTGGAGAACGTTCTTAGGAATAGGATTTGCTCACATTTGGAAAAATGTGGACTTGTTAGTGATAGGCAGCATGGCTTTCTGCGGGGAAGATCCCATCTCTCAAACTTGATTGAGTTTTTTGAGGAAGTGACAAAGATGATTGGGGGCAGGGTGGTAGATGTCTAAACAGACTTTAGCAAGGCTTTGTACAAGATCACTCATGACAGGCTGACACAAAAGGTGAAGTCACAGTGGGTCTGGTGAGATGGGCACAGAACTGGCTTACTTATAGAAGACAGAGGATTGTTGTGGATGGGTATTTTTCTGGCTGGAGATCTGTGACCAGTGGTATTCCACAGGGATCAGTGCTGGGATCCCTGTTGTTAGTAATATATATAAACGATTTGGAGGAGAATGTAGGTGGCTTGATTTTGTAAGTTTGTGGATCATACACAAAGATTGGGGGAGCTGCGGATAGTGAAGTGGATTGCCTGAAGATACAGCAGGATATAGATAGGCTGGAGACTTGTGTGGAGAAATGGCCGAGTTTATCCAGATGTGAGGTGAATGCATTTTGGAAGATTTTGCAAGTATAGAGTAAATGACAGAACCCTTAGTAGCATCAACATAAGGAGGGGTCGAGGCATACAGTTCTACAATTTCCTGAATGTGGCAACACCAAGTGGATAAGGTGGTCAAGAAGGCATGTGGTATGCTTGCTTTCAGTGTTTGGGGCATAGAGTATAAAAATTGGCAAGTAATGTCACAGCTGTACAGAACTTCAGTTGGTTTGCATTTGGAATATTGTGTACAGTTCTGGGTCACCACACTTCAAGAATGACGTGGAGGCTTTGGAGAGGGTACAGAAATGGTTTACCAAGATGTTGCCTGGTTTGGAGAGATTGGACAAACTTGATTTGTTTTCATTTAAACTTTGAAGCATAAGGGTCAGCCTGATAGAAGTTTACACAATTATGAGAAGCAGTGGATAGTCGGAGTCTTTTCTTCCCCATGGTAGAAATGTCAATTACTTGGAGCCGGAGATTTAACTTAAAAAGGGGAATGTTTAAAGGAGATGTGAGAGGCAAGTTTCTTGCTCAGAGGGTGGCAAGTGTCTGGAATGCACTGCCAGAGGAGGTGGTGGAGGCAGATACAATAGCAACGTTTAAAAGGCATCTTGACAGATAGACGAATAAGCAGGGAATAGATCTCCCCTGTAAAGACCACTCATGATTTTCATTCCTGCACCAGATCTCACCTCAGCATGCACTTCACTTCTGACTAGATGAACTCCCTTGTTGTCTCATAGCTGCATTCTTCCCATAAGAACTTCCCACTGAGTAATTCCGTTAGTTTGTCATGGGCAAAATGGGTTTAGCTAACTTGAATGAGTTTTATGGTGAGGTAACAAATGGTTGATGAAGGTAATTTGCTTGATGTCTGCAAACAGGTCTGCCATCTGATCTGGCATCTACCTGGGCACTGGAAAGGACAAAGACACACCACGTCCACTTATGCTCAAAAGTCCACCTCTCTCTCTTGGATCAACCTGCGGTAAAATGAGGTGAGTCGTCCCAGAGGGCCAGCATCCTGACAGAGTCATACTCACCATTTCATTCATACCTTCTAGCCGAGGTCCCAGATACTTCCAAGCCCATCCTTATCCCAGTGTAGATTTTGTGCCAGCAGCAGGGCAGCCACACTAAAGGTGATAATGGTCCCTCAATGTGGAATGCAGATGATGTCGTACCAATGTCACTGGATGAGTAATCCATGGAACGTACTATTACTATGGGCATGTAGGTTCAGATTTTAAGGCAAATTTTAATGGTAATGAGACAAAACTTTCAAAAGTTTTTTTGGAGTAGACTGTTCGCAGGTAAGAGGACATCTGACAAGTGGGAGATAGGAAGAACTGTTGATGTTGGAGTCTGAGATAACACAGTGTGGAGCTGGAGGAACACAGCAGGCCTGGCAGCATCAGAGGAGCAGGAAATCTGCCGTTTTGGGTCGGGACCCTTCTTCAGAATCTTTCTGAAGAAGGGTCCGGACCCAAAACGTCAGCTTTCCTGCTCCTCTGATTCTTCCAGGCCTACTGTGTTCCTCCAGCTCTACACTGTGTTATCTCTGACAAGTGGGAGGCGTTCAAGAGTGTGATGACGAGAGTTCAGAGGCATTTTGTTCATGTTAGTGTTAAGGGTAAGGCTGATATGGTTAAGGAACAATGGATGAATAAAGATATTGAGATCCTAGTCAAGAATAAAAGAGAATCTTATATTAGATATAGACAACTTGGTTCAATTGAATCTTAATCAATATAAAGAGTGTAGGGGCATTCTTAAGAGAGAATTCAGGAAGGCAAAGAGGGGATATGAGATAGTATTGGCAGATCAGGTTAAGGATCATCCAAAGAGATTCTACAAATATATTTAAGAGCAAGAGGGTAACTAGAGAGAGGGTAGGGCCTCTTAAAGATCGAGGAGATTGTCTTTGTGTTGAATCCCAAGAGATGGGAGAGATACCAAATGAATATTTTGTGTCAGTTTTAGTGTGGAGAAAGAAATGGAACCCAGAGAATGCAGAGAAATAAACTTTGATGTTTTAAAAACAGTTCACATTATGGAAAAGGGAGTTCGGGAGGTCTTAGAGAGTATAAAGGTGGATAAATCTCCAGTACTTGATGTAATGTATCCAAGAACATTTGTGGGAAGTAAGGGAGGAAATTACAAGACTCCTTGCCGAAATATTTGAATCATAGTTACGGTAAAGTGCCTGATGACTGGAGGGTGGCTATTGTTGTACCTTTTGTTTAAGAAATGTTGTAAGGAGAAACCAGGGAACTATAGACCTGTGCGTCTGACTTCGGTTGTGGGTAAATTGTTGGAGGTGATAATAAAAGAGAGGATTTCTGTATATCTCGAGAGGTAAAAGTTGATTAGGGATAGTCAGCATGGTTTTGTGAAAGGAAAATTGTGTCTCACAAACCTGATTGAGTTTTTGACGAAGTTACCAAAAAGATTGATGGCAGAGCAGTAGGTGTTGTTTATTTGGATTTTAGTAAGGTTCTTTGACAAAGTTCTGCATGGTAGACTAATTAGTAACATCAGTTTGCATAGGATTCAGGGTGAGTTGCCAATTGGATACATAATTGGCTTAATGGCAGGAGACAGAGTAATGGTGGAGGGTTGCTTTTTGGACTGAAGGCCTGTCGCCAGCGGTGTTCCACAGGGACGGTCTCGGTCCTCTTTTGTCATTTATATAAATGATTTAGATGAGAATATAGAAGACATAGTTAGTAAGTTTGTGGACGACACCAAAATTGGTGGCATAGTAGACAGTGAAGAAGGTTTTCTAAGATTACAAAGGGATCTTGATCAAATGGGTCAATGGGCTGAGAAACGGCAGAAGGAGTTCAATCTTGATAAATGCGAGGTATTGCATTTTTGATACAACAAACAAGGGTAGGGCTTATACAATTAATGGTAGGGCCTTGGGTAGTGTTATAGAATAGGGACCTAGGGGTACAGGTACATAATTCTTTGAAGTTAGTGTCACGTGAAGACAGGGTGGTTAAAAAGGCATTTGGCGCACTTGCCTTCTTTGCTCAGACCTTTTGAGTATAGGAGTTGGGACGTCATGTTGAGGTTGTACAGGACGTTGGTGAGGCCTCTTCTGGAATACTGTGTCCACTTCTGGTCGCCCAGTTACAGGAAGGATATTATTAAGCTGGAGAGGGCTCAGAAGAGATTTACCAGAATGTTGCTGAGTATGGAAGGGATAAAGTTATAAAGAAAGGCTGGATAGGCTGGGACTTTTTCACTGGAGCATAGGAGATTGAGAGGTGACCTGATAGAAGTTTATAAAATAATGAGAGGTATAGATAGGGTTAATGGTAGTTGTCTTTTTCCTAAGATGGGGTATTTTAAGATTAGGGGGCAGATTTTTAAGGTGAGAGGAAAGAGATATAAAAAAGAAATGAGGGGCAAATTTTTTTACACAGAGGGTGGTTTGCATGTGGAATGAACTTCCTGAGAAAGTGGTGTATGTGGGTACAAGTACGACGTTTAAAAGACATTTGGATAAGTACCTGAATCAAAGGTTTGGAGTGATATGGGCCAGGAGCAGGCAGGTGGGACTAGTTCAATTTGTGATTATGTTCGGCACAGACTGAAGGGTCTGTTTACATGCTGTACGACTCTGACCGTCCCTTGAAATGGCCCTAGCAATTCACTCAGTTCAAGGGCAGTGAGAGATGGGCAACAAGTATTATATTTTCCAGTGATACCTACATAGCATGAAAGAGAACTTTTTAAAAAAAAAAAAAAAATTCTTGGTGAAACATGATTGGCAGGAGCTGGCAATGTGCAGCCCAGTGTGCTAATCGAGAAGGAAGCAAAGTTTGCCAAGACCTAGTGCCATCGGACTGTATTGTTGAGTGTCCTGGAGTTATTACAATATAGAGGAATGAGACCAGCCACCGATAGTATCCGTATTGTAGTCCAGTCAACCCCCTTTGTAAAGGCCATGCCTTTTTTTTACTGTTCTGAAAGACTAATGAGCTGAAATGAGAAGTGAACTGTTTAAAAACCTATAATTGTTGAAGGGCTGCTGCCCTTTTAAAAAGCAAGTAACCTGACAAACATTGTAACCACTGTTTACATAGCTGCTAATTCAAGCACTATAGAGTCATAGAGGTACACAGCACAGAAACAGACCCTGCGGTCCAACTCGTCCATGCCAACCAGATATCCTATATAAACCAAGTCTCATTTGCTACCATTTGGCCCATTTCCCTCTAAGCCCTTCCTATTCATATGCTCAACCAGATGCCTTTTAAATGTTGTAATCGTACCCGCCTCCTCCACCTCCCCTGGCAACTCATTCCATACACGCACCACCCTCAGCATGAAAAATTTGCCCCTCAGGTCCTTTTTAACTCTCTCCCCTCTTGCCTTAAACCTATGCCCTCTAGTTTTGGACTCCCCCACCCTGGGGAAAAGACCTTGCCTATTTACTCTATCCATGCCCGTCATAATTTTATAAACCTCTAATGAGGTCACCCCTCAATCTCTGATGTATCAGAGAAAATAGCCCCAGCCTATTCAGCCTCTCCCTGTAGCTCAAACCCTCCAACCCTGGCAACATCCTCGTAAATCTTTTCTGAACCCTTCCTAGTTTCACAATGTCCTTCCTGTAGAAGGGAGACCAGAATTGCACGCAATACTCCAAAAGTGACCAAAGCAATGTCCCTGTACAGCCGCAACATGACCTCCCAACTCCTATATTCAATGCGCTGACTAATAAAAGCAATTATACCAAATGCCGCCTTCACTATCCTATCTACCTGCGACTCTGCTTTGAAGGAACTACAAACTGGCACACCAAGGTCTCCTGAAAGTTTGCAGACGAGCTGGAGCCAAGGGCTACGTACAAATGGAAATTCAGCCGGCAACAAGTAGCTGATTGGTCTGTGGACTAGTAACCAGTTATCATTGGCAAAAAATAGGGATTTATCAAACTATATAATTGTTTCCCAGGTAGCTGAACAGCCTTGGGCTGTGCAAGAGAAAGGGAGAAGCCATCAGGCCTCCACAAGCTCAGGAGCTCTCTCTGTTCTCTGTAGCAAAAAGTTACTTTGATCCTGAAGAAAATCAGTGTGTTTTTCCTTCAGTTGCTGTAAGCTATGACTTAATCAATAAGTCAGAGATCTTAAAGTGTTACCTTTAAAAGTCACCCTGTGCCTCCTGCAAACAAGTGAAAGCGTTCAGAGAAGGAAGATCAAGAAGCAGCATTCTGATCAGCACAAGAAATATCTCACTGGTTGTGAACAGAAACCATTGAACTGCCTTCCCAACCTTTCCCTCTGCCCATAACACTTGTTTTATTTCCTAAATCTGTGTGTATATGTTTGTAAAGGGAGAGTATAAGGGGATTAGAGTTTTAATTTGTAGAATTATATGATGGTGTATAAGTTTTACTTGTAATTGAAATCTATTCATTTGAAATAAATAGTAATTCTTAAGTATATAAACCTGGGAGTGTTTTCTATAAACCTGGCTCTAATAGACAAGAGAATTCGGGATTCTGTGCACTTTTTAAAGACATTACCTCTTGTGATGACTCTGGGAATAGTGGGGTTTGATTTCCCAGTGCACCTCCTCAATAAGACGTGACACTTGCTTGTGTTCTGTTCCCATGGTCTGTAAGTTTATTCCCCTCAAGTACTCAACTGGTTTATTTTTCATTTCATTCATTGTCTCCTCTCCTACTCCCCTCCCCTGAAGGCAGCTAATTTTAGAATGAGGGGAGAGTCACTTCTTTTTCTTACAAGAAAATATAAGGGGTCACCCATTTACAACAGAGATGAGGAGAATTATTTTCTCAGGATTGAGACACTTTGGAACTCTGCTTTCACTGCCTTTTAGGGAAGAGAGTCATAATTCATACAGCATGGAAATGTCCATGTTGACAGGTTTCCAAAACTGGTCCTATTTGCCTGTGTTTGGTGCATAACCCTCCAAACCTTTCCTATTCATGTACCTGTTCAAATGTCTTTTAAATGTT